TCAAAAGTAATGTATTCGCTTTCAAAAGAGGATCTGGAAACAAATAGTGTCATCCCAGAAATGTGTAGCATTCCTTAAATGCAAAAAATCAGTGCCAGTCACGTTTGACATATCTCCGGACATTCGTGGACTGGGTTCGAGAGTGTGGAACTCGGAAATCTACATTTTTTTCTTGGATAAACTTTGCCAGATGGAGCTCAGATGTGGTCTGGCCATGGGGCAGATGTTACCGAACCCTCAACACCCACAAAGGAACCAGGTCATGAAACTTGCCCAACTTCCTGCCTCTGTACACATGACTTCTTTCCCCTGAAACGCTCATTCCCTCCTTTTTTTCCTTTTTTTTTTTTTTTTTTTTTAATACACTCGACCTCCCCTCTAGAGGTTTCATATTAAGTCCAGTGTGAAGTCAGTTTTCCTAACTCCTCTGGAGTCTCTGCGTTTCTCCGGAGGCCGCGTGTGGCACCGTGGGTGTTCTGACCCCAGCTATTCTGTGTTCTATCTGAGCACCGGCTTGTCTTGCCCACTAAAGTAGCTTCTTAACAACAGGGACTCCTGTGTCGTTCCGAAAGCTCCTGGGATGAATGTATGCCTTCAAGGATGCTTTTGACACAAGCTGTTACATTAGGTGCACCGAGGACCAACCTGGGGTAAGGACCAGGGAGGACAGCGCTGAGGACCCCTGCCGGGAGGGGCAGCCCACTCCTCAGGAGGCCAGGCAGCTGGAAGAAGTCCTTTAGAACGAGATGTCAGACTTGGGTCTCCTCCCTGCTACCACCTCTCTGAGGCGTCTCCAGACCAAAAAGATTCTCCCTGTTTCAAACCCTCAACCAAGGAACATTTTCGAGGCCTTTTAGGTTCCCGTGGGAGTCAGAAATGCCACCGCAAGGAAACTGTACCTCAGGGAGATAGTGTATTGGGGCGAAGTGCTTTTGTTTCCTAGGAGAATTTCATTTGGTGACCTGTAATTCTAGCGTTATCTTTTTAATGTGTCATTCCCTAAAACTACTAAACTTACCCAAGTACCTTCTTCCCCCACCTCCCACATTGGAGTCCCAAGGTTCCCTGTCCTCTCCTCACTCTGGGTCCCCGATCCCCATCTCCATCCCCACCCAGCACACCTGCAGGGACACAGACAGCCTTCCATCAGGAAGCGGCTCACCCTCAGGAGCCTCCCCTCCTTCTTGCCTCTGGAGTCCCCACGATGCTGATCCTGTTCCTTCACCATTTCCAGTGTCCTCCTCTGCCTCGGTCCGAATTTTCTGTCATTCTGTCAGAACCGTGACCTCAGCTCTCTGCTGTAGGAACTGGCGCTCCACTGCATAAATCCATAGCATTCCGATGGGTAAAGCATGTTAATTCTTTAAAAAAAGAAGGCTAGTCTTCTCCCTTCTTCCTTATTTATTTGTGATGATGCTTATTCATTTTTATTTTGATCATCAAAGGCAATACTTCCAAAATTTTATCTAGGCCAAAAGCTTCACTCAGCACCTCCCATAGTACCTGGCACATGGTAGACAAACCCAAAAGGTATTGACTGAGTACATGAAAGAATGGATGGATGGACGGGCTCAAATAGGGACTGTCTTTGGCTTCCCGATGAGATGACATAAAAGCCAGGCAGTAGTCCAAGGAGTGTTTTTAGGTAAACGAGGTTTGCAGTATCCTGGTTGACTGTCCTCTTAGATGTCCAGCGAGGTCTACCCCCGTCTTTTGAGAAGACAAATTAGATCCCCATCTAGTTATCCCTCACCTTTTTTTTAAGGGTCTGAGTTGACAGTTGTGGCTACGAATGGGGGCTTGGTCTCTCTCACTTCCTTTAAAAAGGTTGAATTAGATGAACAATCTCTTGCTTTGGTTGAGATGCAACCGAGAGAACGATCCAGTCCCTCTCCACCTCCCCGACCTGTTCTCGTCCTCTCGGCTCCACTTCCTCATCTGGTTCTTATCCTTGTCACCCCGAAGCGTCAGAGGCACCGCCAGCATTTTGAGGAGACAAAGGAAAAAATCCTGGGGATACGGGAGCTGCCTGGTCTTTCTATTGTCGAAGACTTAGCTTGAAACTTGGAAGGAAAAGAGATACCAAGAACCCCTGTTTTTACACAAATAACCGCCCTGCTTTTTATACTTTCTCTACATGTTAGCAAACATGCGGGTCTGGCCTGGCGAGAGGCTCTCAGGGGCCACCTTTCCTCCTGACATTTGGGGGAAGAAAACAAAACAAGAAGAGTACCTAGTTGTCTGGATCCCTATTAAACCGGCCATGACTTCTGTGAACCCCTGAGTGGGTTCGTCTCTTGGCAGCATCAGTAGTGAGGGACTCTAGTCCAAGGAGCCGTGGGTGATGACAGATTCAGGCCTTAGGTCAGCGGTTCTCAACCTGTGGGTCGCGACCCCTTTGGCGGTCGAACGACCCTTTCACAGGGGTCGCCTAAGACCATCCTGCATATCAGATATTTACATGACGATTCATAACAGTAGCAACATGACAGTGATGAAGTAGCAACGAAAATAATTTTATGGTTGGGTCACTGTATTTAAAGGGCCAGAAGGTTGAGAACCACTGCTCTAGTCCAAGGAGCCGTGGGTGATGACAGATTCAGGCCTTAGGTGCTCACACGCGTCCCCGCCTCTTCTGTCAGTCTGCAAAGACGGACAGGAAACGGGGCAAGGGATGCAAAGACAGCAAAGTTCCCCGTGTGCAAAAATTAGACTTTCGCATCCACGGAAGCCAAGCCTTCCCAGATATTAAAAGGTGTGCACCTGCAAATGCTTCTGTTCATCCTGTCTGCCAAGAATTGCCAGCCTCCCGTCATGTTCTGAATGTCCGGCCTTTCTCTCCTGCTCGAAACAGATGCTCCCTCCATGCCCGTCACAGCCACCTGCCGTCGCCATGTGTCATGTCGCACCGCATAGATGTAATGCCATGCCTCCATCTCCTCCCCACCCCTCACTGTATCCAAGCATGTGGTGTGCGATGACTCTTCCGCTGCCGTATACACTCTGTATACATTTCTCTTCTTCCTTGCAAGACTGCGAATGCTTCGGCCACTCCAATCGATGCAGTTACATCGATCTGCTAAATACAGTCATTTGCGTGAGCTGTAAGCACAACACTAGAGGGCAGCACTGTGAGTTATGCAGGCTGGGCTACTTCCGAAATGCTTCGGCACAGCTGGACGATGAGAATGTGTGCATAGGTCAGTCCCCTTATGATTTCAGCTACTGTTCTGTGCCTTTCACGCGATGGGGAGCTATGGAAGGCGGAGAGGCTGGGGATTTGTACCATGGCTGAGCCAGAAGGAACTTTCTCAACGGGGAAAACATCCCTGTGGTAGACTTAAAATTCACATGTGCTGGTTGAAATCGTAGTTGGGGGAATATATGGCGAATCCTTATGTGACTGTTGCTTTAAAGATGATAATGAGCTGAAAAATGTTTCGGAGATAAAGAATTTTCAATTTTCCTTTTGCATGAATTCTTAAAACCTGGTCATTTCAGCCTAACCTTAAAGTGAAGCTATGCATTCAACATTCAAAATGGGGACTCATTCTAGGGGCTTGAATTATCGGTGTGAGAAGTTAGGATACAACCTCTTGCACATAATCGCTAATTAACAAATAAATGTTGGTTGATTACAAATATTGCCATTTGCAACTGAAAGCCACATGCAGTTGGTAATGTAGAAGTCTTGCCTGCCTTTTTCATCCACAGAAAAGAAATTCCATTTATTGGATTTTTCAACAGTCCCCAAAAAGAGAAGCAATTTCTCAAAATTATTCTAGATGGTTAATTCTCTTAGCTTCGTGAGCCCTGGAAAATTGAGTCCACAGGGTTGGGTCCCTGGGGCGCTGTCCCCACCCACCATGACGGTTGACCATGTCAACTGGAGAGAATCAGGGGCCTTTCCATCCAAAAAACCCCTCCTGCCTGTGCAGAGTGGGACCTGTCTTTAAGAAAGGGAGCTGATGGAGAAGTAAGAACCAATAAATGGAATTTCACCTCATCATTTTCTAGGGAGAAATGCATATATTCAAAATGGTAAAGGCTGTGTATCCGTTACCACACTAATGGGTATAACCATGTAGGCAACCCATTTTAAAGGTAGAATATTTCACATAGAGACTAATTTCAACAGAATGAAGGAGCTGAAAAATGACAGATGGTCTTTTCATCAAAAAAAGGAACCCAATCAATATGCAATTGTGGGATTATCGCTCTCCGATTGGATTGTCAAGGACATATAGGTACTTGCCAAGTGTCTCATTTAACTAGCTGTACACCTTGTTTTGAATTCGGCTGGGCCACGTTTACATTCGACGGTGTATGTCTCCAGTATGTCCTATTTTTCAAAGCCTTCCTCACTTATTATTTGTGAATTAGTGGAGACATCACTGGACTTAGAGGCTGGAGACCTGGGTTCAAGTCCCAGTGTGCTATTTAATAGCCGTGTGCCTTAGCTGAGTCATCTGAGAACCCCTGGTCACATGGGGATCCCATGGGATGCACGGAAGCTCTTGGTGAACTGTGGGCTGACTGTGAATGTGTTTTTTTACTTGATCCTCATTAACAAAGCGGGGGGGGGGGGGCGGGAAGGGGGTCAGGGGTAAGTGTTCCACTGATAATTTCCCATTTTCTAGTTGAGAAAAGTAAAGCAAGTTGACGCACATCATATGGCGTTAGCAAAGAGTCCCTTTTCTGACTTCAAAGCTTGAACACGTTCTCCCAGCCACCCTGACCCAATTAGCAAAGCTATGCTTCTCAGACTTATACTTACAGAATTTTTTTATTAATCTTTATTGTTGAAAGTATTACATATGTCCTCTTTTTTCCCCCATTGACCCCTTCTAGCCCACCCCCACCCCCTGCCCCAGGCCTTCACCACCCTATTGTCTGTGTCCATGGGTTATGCATATATGCACACAAGGTCTTTGGTTGATCTCTTCCCACCCACCCCACCCCCCACCCCCGCCTTCTCTCTGAGGTTCCACAGTCTGGAATGCTTTTGGAATGAGAGCCACAATTCCACTCCAACCTTAGGAACAGAAATTCAGTTGCCTTTCTAACACCGGGGTTACAAAGACTTGAGGATATTACTAACAACCCAAAGACATGTCGCTGTCTGAAGTTTGAATGCAGAGTTCCATGTTGCTGAATGTCACCTGTAAAAATATATAAATGCCACACCATAAATATGGAAGCAAGAGAAAAGGCAAAATAAATAGGAGCGCAGGAATGAAACCTAATTATTTCTATTTATGTACGATTACAAGATTTTATAACTTAATTTCGTATTACTTGAAATAAATTAAAGAAAAAGGCCTCAAGAGAAAAGATTCTATCCCAGGGACTTTCTCATTGCAGGTAATGTAACAATGCCCCAATATGTGCTATTTGGAATAATATTCTGTTCTGAGGAAGTTGGGCCTTTTTCCAGTCCTAAAATAATTTATGAAGGACAATCTGTGCTCCCCCTCTGATTCTAAGAGATATAGTTGTATCGTAAATCCACGCTTGATTATCCACAGACAAGAGGACAGCCCATTCCGCTTTTGTCTTTTAAAACATAAGCTGCAGATAAAATATGGAAAGTTTAAGTAGACATTTTTTATTTATTTCTACTTTTTAAAAAAAATCAAGAGCCGTTGTTTTTTGGTTTTCTTTTTCCATTTCTGGAAAGTCTGTTCATTAAAACCCTAAACCTTTGGGGAATTCTAGAAATTAGAAATCTTTGGAGAGCACTATTTTACACTCTTCAAACCAAGGAAAGGACTTGGTAAGCACAGCGATGGGTGTTGTGGGGTGCCGTCACCTACATCAGCCAGTAGCTACAATGTCCCCCACACACCAGCTCCTTAAATTGTTGCCCTTTTCCTAAGGGGGGGAAATTGTTTTTAGAGAATGAACTGAAAGGTGTGGCCAGCTGGTATCAGCAATGGTCTGTCTTTTGTCTTTAATCCATACATGCATATGTGCAACGAAGCAATAACATTTAGATTCCAGTTTTCCCACAGGAGCGACCAAGGGCAGGGAAATCGAGACTGAGGCTGAGGGTTGTTCCTGGGGGCCATGGGCAGCCTGTGGCTCATGGCCAAGGCCCATGGTTAGCCCTGTCGGGCACAGGACCCTTCTCACTATTCCCCACACTAAGCTCCCCACAGGGCTTAAGGCAGGACTGAGGATTGAATTTGAGAGGCTACATACACCACAAGGAACTGAGGGCTCATGTTTACAGAAAGCACTCATGGAAACGAATGGGTATCTACCCAGCGCCTTTGCACAGAATCAGGCAGTAATCTCACAAAAATGTGAACTTCATCTAAATCTTCCCTAAATATTTTTTTAAACGGTGCTTTAACAGCTGGCCGTCAAATCCACTGGGGAACAGCCCATAATCTCTGACCAAACGTGGACTCTGTTGAAATAGCTGTACACCGCTGGCATCATTTTATAATCCGGCAAATGTAAACTGCAGGCTGATCCATGTTGCCGCAGTGATCGCTGCTTTGGGATTGCTGGTGAATTTACCGGTTTTCACACAAATTCCAAACACAGCCGTGTCTCCAGAGATGCATGGCATCGCCCTGTATGACGCAGCAATTACGTGGAGAGGGCAGCCTTGCACGCCTCTGTGTCATAGACACTCCAGCAGGAAGCTAGCGGATGCCTGGTGTGTGACGTTGGGTAGTCACTGCCAGGGCCCAGCCATTGCTACTAACGCAAGTTCAAGTCATCAGCGGTCCCTTCTGTAGAGCAAAGCAAACGCAAGACACTTTGAACCTATCAATCAATTGCAATGTAACTATGGAATCAAACCTCCCAACATGTTTCATGGTGTTTTTCAGTCTAGCAGTGCTGCCTATTCTTCCTAGTTCCATAGAAGAAAAAAAATTCTCCAAGGCCGCCATCCTCGGCCCAGCACCTACCATACAGAATAGTCCCATCAATAATATACTTTTAAACCCAAGTATTTGTGTGGAAGGTGGAGTGTAACCCCACCTCTTCTTGTTACTCGTTCTCATGACTGTTCGAGTAAGTTCATTACACCTACACCGCTTCCTAAGACAACCACTGGCATATTCCGTGGTTTAGACGTTTCACATTTTTGAGGAAGAAATAAAACAACTTTGTTTACATATTTTTGCATCTAAAACCTTATAATAATCAATTTTTTAAAGTATATTTTGATTTTTTTACAGAGAGTAAGGGAGAAGGTGAGTGATAAAGAGTTAGAAACATCGATGCGAGAGAAACATCGATTCAGCTGCCTTTTGCACACTCCCTGCTGGGGATGTGCCCGCAACCAAGGTACATGCCCTTGACGGGAATCAAACCTGCGACCCTTCAGTCCGCAGGCCGATGCTCTATCCACTCAGCCAAACTGGTCAGGGCATAATAATCAATTTTTATGGGCTAATTGACTAGGGTAGTATGTGAATTCATGTTGGCCAAAGAAAATTCTACCACCTGGCTAACAAAACATTGGTGGTTTATTGTCAACGTATACACATTAAACGGTAAAAAACATCTTACGGTTTGGAGATAGGTGCATACTTATACATATGCACAGAAAAACATCTTAAAGCCATAACAGAATTACTGTTTTTAAAATTTTTAAACAACAACCCCCTACACACACACATTAAAATAGGAAATGCCGATTTAAAATAGAACTGGTTATTAAGGACAAACCACGCCAGCCAAGGAGAGAGCATTTTAGAGTTAACCTTGCTTTATTTTTACCTGTGTATACCGATTCGTCTTCTACATGTTTGCAGCAGCAGAATGCTGAACTAGAAAGAGGAAAAAAAAAATGATTTAATCACCACGAAATAAATCACAGTTCTAAGGCCTTCCACATTTTTTGAAGAAATTAGCTAATTAGTTCCCATGACAGAAAGAGTGAGATGGCGCCTCTGGCCCGCTGTGGTGTTAAACCCTGAGTCTCCATGGCTAACGGGTGCTCAACCGGGTGATACTAAACGGATTCCCAGGGCGGCTCATGGGCGGCTCTTTGGTTATTTGCTTGGAATGATTTTACTTGGGGTTTGTTGGGTTTTTTTTTAACAAGAAAACCTCTTCATGGGTCCCTTGTTATGGAGGAGCCCAAGAACCTGCCCACGATCCCACGGTGGGGTGATAAGCGAAGAAACTTTGTCCCCCAAACTCCACACGCCGCCAACCAGCTGGTCCTGAAACCTCTCGGGCCAGTGGAAGCCCAAGGCCAAGCAGTGCTCGGGCCGTAAAAACACCCCCATGAGGCTGTGGGCCGAGTCAGGAAAACGGCCCGTTTCTGTTTATTACGCACAGTTCAGACAGTCTAGTGAGGAAAGTCTCAAACGTAGAAAGTTACGTGGGATCTGGGCATTTCTTTTCCTTTCCTGAGTGTGCATCTCGGCGGCATAAGCGCCGCACTAGCCTCCCAGATCAGTCCCTACAGGGTGTCCATCCCGAGTCATAAGGGAAAACCTGCCTGTGAGTGAGCCAAGTGCATCCGTAGTGCACTGTACACGTGTCCGGCGGTTCTCGCACCCGAAGCGTCACAGGTCAGCCCATTTGAATCATTTCAGCAGCTTTGGCCCTGATGGTGGATGACGGAGCCTCGCCGGCCACCCTGCTGGTGACGTTCATGCGACCGTGTGAGAGGCCCCACCGATGCCTCTCCATCAGGCCCCGTGGGCGGTGGGGCGAGCGATGCCTTATCTCCCTGGAAGGTTTCGGTTGATTTCCTCCCGTGTCATGAAAACAATATCCTGGGAGGCCGGGCAGGTAAATCGATGGGCCTGCCGCGGCCGCCCTTGCCAGAGCGTTTCGTTAGTGGCATCCGTCCCGAGGAAGCGAGGCGCTGGTGGCCGTGGGCGCGGGTGTTGGCACCCTCCGGCCCTGGGCCTGCTCTCCAGCCTGTGTGTTGTCTCCTTTCTACAGAGTGTTATTGTAACCCCTTGGGCTCAGTCCATGAGCGCTGTAATGGCTCGGGATTCTGTGAGTGTAAGGCGGGAGCCACGGGGCCTAAGTGTGATGAGTGTCTGCCGGGCAATTCCTGGCACGCCGGCTGTCGACGTAAGTAACTGGGGCGCTGCCCTCGCCCGCTGCAGCATGGCCCCCCCTGCTTGCCTGGCCGGCCGTGCAGTGCTCAGAGCAGAAAAAGGCCCAGCCCGACCCCTGACAAGCCTGGAAAGCTACCTGAGCCTTCCCGCCACCCAGCAAGTTCTGATTGGCACTAGTGTTGGAGACGGATTTCAAGAATGCCTTTGCTTCCGAACCAAATGCCATTTTCTTTTATTGTTTTTATTATGTTTGGTTAATCCTCACAGGGGATGTTTTTTCCCTTGAGTTTGAGAGAGAGTGGAAGGGATGGAGGGAGGGGGGAAGAGGGAGAAATAGAGAGGTGGGAGGAGAGAGAAACATAGATGTGAGAGACACACATGGATTGGTTGCTTCCTGCAGGAGCCCGGACCAGGGCCAGCGATCAAACCTGCAACTCAAGTGCATGCCCTTAACCAGGAATCAAACCTGAGACCCTTTCGTGTGTGGGCAGACGCTCTAACCACTGAGTGACACCAGCCAGGACCCAAATGCCATTTTCCTAACAAGTTCTAGAACTAGCTATCTTATCCATTCTTTAAAGTCAGGATATTTTTCAGAGTCTGCTTTAGGAAAGACTTGGGTTTTTTTTTTTCCTCTGTCATTCCTTTTCCTACTCGCTTTTCTTTCTTCCTCTTCTTCACCCACTGTGATGAAGAATGGAAGCCTGTTTATCACCTGTTATATTCGCGGAATAGACGTTCCTTTCTTAGGTTGCATTTAGAAGCATTAAATATCCATGTTTCTCTTTTAAAATAATAAAGTAAAAGCTACCTAATGCCACGCTCTATGGCGAGGAGGGAGAGCAGTTCATCAGCTGCCCAGCGGGTGTCTTTGAGGCCCAGCTCCGGCCCCTGTGATGGCTAGAGCCACTCACATTGAAATATCGTACGCGGACCCGTGTACCTGGCCAGACCGTAAATTCAGTGGCACAACAGGGACCCGGCCAGGAAGCACTCACCGCAAAACGAGGACTGGTGTGTCTGTGGTTCGTATATTTCTTGAGCCAGAAGGGACCTTGGAGCCCCGGAGTCCATAAATTAAATGGTATCTACATCTCTATCGCTACCCTGGCTATCATTCCCATCACTGAATCTTAACCAGAAACCTAACGGCAGTCCATCTAAGGGGCATGTAAACGCCAGGGGAGGATAAATGGCAAAAATCAATGCTGATGTTACGCCTCTGAGGTTGGGCACCATTCAGGGAGCCCTGGACGGATGCCGGGGTCGCGCGGTCCAGCCTCAACGCTCAGAGGGTCAGCAGGCCTTCTGAAAACCTTGTCGGGGAGGTGGCATGTCGTGTGGGGTGTCCGGGGAATGTGAATTTCAAAATCTGAGCAGAAGTCTCCTGGTGTCCTGCGTAACCTTCTCTGCTTTTTAGTTCTGCACCAACTCTGCACCCATCTATACCCGGCCGGCCAGCCGGCTTTACGAGGCACCAGGCAAATCCCCAGCCCAGTAGAAAATCGTGCAAACCAGATAGGTAACCTTCCATGGTTTGTTATCCACCTTAAAAAATTTAAGAAAATAAATGTAAGTTGATTCTAACAACCCACCGTACCCGGAATGTCTGAAATGGTATCATTGCAACACATAATGAGCATTAAAATGATCAAGGAGATGGTTTACATTTTCCCTCAGGCTCTGCAGTCAGACGTGGGTTTTGTGCTTAAACAGAACAGCTCAATTAGGACTGGCCATATTGCGAGGCGGAATGGCCACATATGTCTACCATATTGGACCGCGCAGCTCTAGAGGGTTCTTTGCTTGCTTGGCACTTGGAAAAAAAATGTCAGCATGCAGGGCCTGTCTGAGCCCGTGGCACCAGGGCTGTGCGGAAGGTGTGGCTGGCTCCTCGCGGAATTGAAGTCGCCTGTAAGGTGCAGGTCTCCGTAATGCAAGGCCGGGGTGGAATGTTCCACCACTCTAATGTCACGGGCGTCAGGAAGTGGGCCGTGAGTCGGTCAAGGTTAGGTGGATCCAGGAGCCAGAGGGCCAGCATCTGGAGCATGGCATTAGCAGGCAGTCCAGCCCTGGCCGGGTGGCTCAGTGGGTTAGAGCGTCATCCCATCCACCAAAAAGGTTGTTGTTGTGGGCTCGATCCCCAGTCAGGATGCCTACGGGAGGCAACCGATTGGTGGTTCTCTCTCTCCCTCCCTCTCTGTCTCTCTTCCCTCCACCACCACGCATTCTTCTGCTTGCCCTGAGTTGAACCCATCCTTGCGTTAGCCTCATTGTCAATGGCAGTGATATTAACCTGACAAGAAGAAACCAACACCAAGAAGAGACAGTGGGAGAGCAGGGCTCACAGTGGCCTTGGCAGCAATGAGCGGCCCTTTAGGTGGGCAGTGCCAGGTGAGGAGGGAACAGGACACGGAGCTACGGCCCCCTAGAGGAGCCATGTGGAACAGCAGTCACAAAGGACTGGATCTTGCCAGTTACTGACACCATCGTTTATATCTATGATAGTGATATACATAGGCTTTGGAGTGATATGGACCTGGGTTTGAATCTCATCTCCGCCCCTTACCACCTTCAAGACTTAGGGGAAATTACTTGGACTCCCTAAGCACAGTTTTCATCTAAAAATGGCGGTAACACTAGGACCTAACACATGATAATCGTGAAGATTCAAGGAAAATGATGAGGGTGGCCCTGTGGTAGATGGTCAGCACTCGGTTATTAGTTCCAAGCACAGGTGGCTGTGTGAAAGCACTAGGCAAGAAGTCATGTCTTAAGTTTATTATACACGATGGGAGTGCGGAACGTGCAGCAAGACTGGCTACTAGAAGTATCAAACTGTTGACTAGGAGACTCTGAAAAGCTCTTGATTAGCCCTGGCTGGGTGGCTCGGTTGGTTGGAGCATCGCCCGTCCACCAACAGGTTCGATTCCTGATTCCCGGTCAGGGCACATACCTAGGTTGCCGGTTCGATCCCTGGTCCAGGTGTGTATGGAGGTAACTGATGGATGTTTCTCTCTCACATTGATATCTCTCTCTCTCGCCCTCCCTCCCTCCCTCCCTCCTTTCCACTGTCTTTAAAAATCAATGGAAATCAGTGGAAAAAATATCCTCGGGTGAGGATTAACAACAACAAAAAAGTGCCTCGTCCTTGGGAGCAGCAGGCTGTGATGGAGGGGGGTCCGGTCTCTGAGGAGGGGTGTCCATAGAGAGCTGAGCAGGCCGGTGAGCACAGGACTTGGCCTGTGGCAGATGTGAGCGGGGTTTGAAGGGCCATTACGTAATGAGTGGACGTGTTGGCTCAGGAAGAGGGAGGGGGACCCGTGGGCACATGGAGCTGCGCAGGTTGCAGCCTCCCCAGCTGCCGGAGAGCCGCCATCGGCTGCCTTGGGGAGTGAGAGGTCCCCAGACTCTGGGAAAGTTCCAGCAGAAGCCGGACGGGCTGCTAGGAGGGATGCTTTCAGGAAAGGCACGGCTTCAATGCAAGTCAAGTGAAAGACCCCAGGGCCTCACCCGCCCTCCGACCTTCAGCCCAGGAGCCCAGGAGGCCAGGGGAGGGCGATGAGGTTTTGTGTAATGACCTTCAGCCCAGGAGCCCAGGAGGCCAGGGGAGGGCGGTGAGGTTTTGTGTAATGACCTTCAGCCCAGGAGGCCAGGGGAGGGCGGTGAGGTTTTGTGTAATGACCTTCAGCCCAGGAGGCCAGGGGAGGGCGGTGAGGTTTTGTGTAATGACCTTCAGCCCAGGA